TCTGATGGTGCAATATGAAAAAAGATATGAAAAGTCTATGGAAACTATTGCTCTATACTGTACTGTAATGATGATAAATAACTATGTTGTGAGTATACTTACAGGGCCGGACACACTCCAGCTTTTGTATTCAGGTGTAGTTTACCACTGCTTGTCTGCCAGGTTGGTAAATGATGTTAGCTAGAACAGGGAGGTTTTTGAGTACTGATGGTTTGCACTTCACAACAGCCCGACTCAAGTGTGTCCAGATCCCTTCTCTCAGTGCACTAGGTAGAGTCTTCAGGGCTCTCACTGTCCTCAGTAGATTTACTGTTGCTGCATTGCAGCAATGCTCCTCTACAGGGAAAAAAAAACGTGAGACAATCCAGCAGAATTCCCCCCTTCGAACCAAACCTATAATGTCTATGGGAAGTATCTGAAAAAAAAAAGTTCATGTGGATATATACGTAAGAAACTGTTTTTCTGTTCCTGTCTGCCCTGGCCCGTTTCTGTTCTCTTTCTTTCAGTTAGCCTGAGGGATCCAAAATGCTGTGAGGTCATAATGTCAGTTTCTATGATTAGTTTCTATGATTAACTGTCTTCATTATGATTATACATTTTAACAAAAAAAATGTCACTTTTTATTTTTAACATGAGTGTTCACCATGGTGGCACTGGAATAAAGAGAAACTAACACAAAGGTTCAAATTTGATTAATAAAATGGCTGTTCCCTAAAGTGTCCCTCGCAGCTTTGATGGTGGGGCGGAGGTGACGGAGCAGACGGGCCCAGAGCGGGTGGAGGCCGCGCTCCCTGCCTGCTTGGGCCGTGAATTTCGGCGAGAGAGATGCCCGGTCTTCACCTCGTTTTTGTCACTGTGACAGCAATGAAACATGAGTTTCCTAATGTTGAGCTTTGTACTCCCTACCTGCAGGTGGCAGTGATGTGCTGCTCAGTACAGTCTGGTCAACACAATGAGCCTGCAGTGTGCTGAGACCCTCTCTATCAAACATGCTTGAGACTAAGATGAGCAGCTGAGTCTGCCCTGAATCGTGGACGGGATGTTTTCCAGAGATATTCAGCAGCAAATGTGCAGCATGGAGAGATTTTGTCAGAAGACAAATGACGAAAACACCAACAAAGCCTCAAAATCCCAGAATGCACAGCAACAGTGTAAATGTTTCTTTTCCTTAAAGCAGCGGTGTCCAAGCCATTTTATTCCCTTTGATCGTATGTAGTGAAAGTCTCCTTTCTGTCAGTGTAAACAGTGAGGTATAAGAAAAACAAGCGCAATTTCAACACTAAGTCTTGTTTTTTCTACATGCTGCTGTCGTAAATGAAAGAAATCCGTGAGCATGAATCTTAAATGTGTAAAATACAGAAATCTGGAATTCAATTACTTTAGTATGAATAGGAAAAGCTATCAGTAGGAAACACTAGGAAACCTCTGAAAATACAGGGTCCTTCTTCACCTTTCCAAAGCTGATTCTCAACCCCGGGCGTTATGTTTGACACTCCTGCCCTAAAGGAAAAGAAACCAAGCAGTACAGTTGAGTCATTTTTCCCGGTGTCATGTTATTCCCACTGACATCTATTGACTTACTCTTTAGGGTTCCCAGTTTTGAGAGAGAGTCGGACGTCTGAACTCTTCATGATAAGCTATTATAATTTTTCATCCTCAGCTCAGATGTGTTTTAAGCAAAATTTCAAAAGTTTCCGTAGCTTCAGAATGAATCCCACGTCTGTGCTCAGGGATGACTGTATAAATCGAAGCTGACTAAAAGCACAAAACATTATTTTAAGAATGCCTAACACACCAGCAGCCTCACTTTTAAACGTCATGACATCCAGTGGTTTGCAGACTCCTAATGTCAGTGGCTCCACTCTCTCCATGAGGCTTTGCAGCTGTTGACTGCAATAACTGAGAAATGACACTGTAAATTATATACAATTATATAATTCATTTAAAATAAAAGCAGTTCAGATTTATTTTGAAAGCAGCCTTTGACCTTTACTGTGAAAGATTGAAAATCTGTGATCAGTTTGATTTCAGTTGTGTCGTCCATCGATGACGTGGAACATCAACGCTGATTATCCAAATTTAGATCAGTGATGTGACAGGTTAAAGCAACTAACCGTGCTCCAGGTACCTCTGCTACTGTCTCAGCTTTGGGTTTATCTAGAAAGACGCATTTGTATAAACAGGGCAGGACTGTTTATACAAATCTCATTTAAGAAAACCAAATGAATGAAACACTCAAAACTAAATCAGTTATATTTCTTTTAAATGTGACAGCGATGCCCCAGAACAGACTTTTTATCCAATGTTGTCAGAGTTTAATTATATAAACATGTCAGATATTTAATTATAGATGGTGGTGCTTGATGCCATATTGCCATAGTGTCATGATGGATCGCTGTGTGGCAGGCAGGATGAGGACCCAATCGCAAAACACAGACACGGGGGATGAACTCAAAAAGCAGCTTTATTGCTGACAAAGGAAGACAGGAAATACAAAACTAAACTGGGAAAAACTAACATAAAGCTCACCAAGAAACACAGGGGAATCACACACAGCATGAGGGAGAACGCGACACAGAACTGAGGGAGACGCAGACATAAATACGCCAAGGGTTAACGAGCGGAGTGGGAGCACATGGGGAACACAGGTGACACTGATAATAATCACGAGACATGGCAGGAGTGAACACAACACTGACGGGAGAGGTGAAACAGAGGTTCAGACAGGAGGAGAGAGAGCACGAGTAGAACACCAACATAACGGGCAGGGGAGACACGAAATAAACACGAAAGGGGACGAGGGCTCATGAATACACAGAGGGGCACACAGGGGGTGAGAGTCACAAAGGGAAAGCACTCAGGGAACAACACAACAGGGCAACTCAGGAAACAGAGCCTAAACAGGGAACTGAATACAAAGACACATGAGAACTAAGAATACTGGGCCAACATGGCCCAGGATCATGACACATAGAATATGAATGAATGCCCAAATGACAGTGCTGCTGGAGCGGGTGGAGTCAAATTTACTTAAAACAGTTCAGGTTGACCTTAAACATATCTGAAATCTTCCAAACATACTTATCAAATTCAGTTGTGGCTCTAAAATTATTCCCACAATCTTAAAACTGATGTATTTCTTCAGTTTTGAACTTAATTTTAAATAGAAATTCTCATAGAAACATTTTTCTTTTTTCTAACTTAGTGCCAGATGATTATGTTGCAGCCACAGTTGGTCGTGACTAACTGCTGTGGTGCCGTACACTGAGAAACTCTAGGATGGATTTAGCTCTGATTGCCTGAAACATGAAACTTCATTTCTAAAGACTACAAGTGTAATTCAGATCATTCATCTGAAATTGGGGAGTGGGACCAGTTCTTTCACTACCAGTGCCCCTCTGTACCACATGACTGTCCACGGTATTTGGAGGCATCAGGTTCACTGCTCCAGAACACATTTTAATAAAAGGTACTAACTTCATTTTAAGCTTTTTTTTGGCATTAATCGATAAAGTTTAGTATAATTATTGTCATTTGAAAATCAAAGCACTTCTAGAGCTTGTGAGGTTGACATTTAGCTGGAGCAGGAATGCAGTTGGACCGATAATAGCTTCTTTACCATAACAGACATGTTCATTGAGGTTTTCAGATCATTTCACACATTTCTGTGGTATTATTAAGAAAGGATAAAGAGAACTGCCAACCAATAAAGTGCCACTTAACAGGCAGAAGGCACTGTGGGACATGTAGGCTAAAGTTAAATATCATGCAAGGGACGAAATGCGCTGAAAAGATTGGAGTGAAATATATCAGTTTAATTTTCTGCTCTAATGAAGTCAGTGTCAATTTAAAGTGTTGTTAAATTTCAGCCTGTCAAGACTCCGTCTGGTGTTGCTGCAGAGGATAAGTGTGAACAGTAGTGACAGAATTATGAAGAATCTTCCTAAACTGGTTTATTGATTCTGAACTCACCAGCCTGCCATCCTGAAGAGTCCACCTGAGCCTCACACGTCCTGCCTGCTAAATTGCTTCCATGGTCTTATATCACAAGACACAGATTAGCAGGAAGGTGTATTACTCAGCATGACAACTGTATCTGCCATCCACCTCCAAAGTCCACAACAAATTAAGCACGGTGACAGAGATTTACTCACCACCACAGTCAGTGGTTAATAACAGCTGTCATAAATAAGGTTCAGGCTGCACTGAATTCTTTGCCTCTGATCAGCCTGAGAAATATGAATCCATCGTTTGCAGAGCTGAGGAAGTGGTTCTGAAAACGTAAAGTAATAAGCACGGATGCATGTCCCAGTGCAGACCTGAAGCAATGAGCTCTGAGCATGGCTCAGGCAGCTGGCATTGTTTATGTTGTCATTTATTGGATTCCAGATATTTTTACTCCTCACAAACTCATTTAGTGAGTTACAGCAAAGGAGTTTATGTGATGATCACAGATAAATCCTTACAGTGTGATCTGTTCGCACTCAGCTGGCAAAATCAACATTGATATATGTAAATGAAAAAGCGAAGAGATAATAAACTAATCAGAAATTTCTACAGATTTCACTGAAAATCAAAATCGAAATTGTTCCTTACAGATGTATTGAAGAATGTGAGTGTGCCCAACTCGTACTTAGCTGGGACACACATTCAGACATGTATATAAAATCCCAATTTAAACACTGCATGTTGGGAAAAATGCCTACATAATAAAACTTTGCTGAAACTTAAACCTTAATTTGTGCAAGGGCTGCTATGAGCACTCAAGAAATGTAAAATAGAAGAAGTTTGGAACTATCAGGACTCTTTCTGAAGCCGGCTGCCAGGTTATCGATCAGGGAGGTGATGAAAAACCCAGGGCCAAAGGCACAAACCCGCACAGAGAAGACACGTCATCATAGATGCTTCCCTTCCAGTCTGAAGTTACTTTACACAATATGCTAAGAAGAAAGGGATAATCTGCCCACATCCAGGTTTGCAAATCATAAAGACACAAAAGAAGAAAGAAAACTTCACTTTAGTTTGTCATTATAGCTTGAGTTTACTTGTGGGAATGTGGCAAATGTTTCAAATGAATTTTACAGATCATACAGTGCAGTAGGATGCCTGGACATTTTCTGAAAAGAACATAATACACAGCATAACAAACATGTCATTACTTCCTGATAAAATTCTCAGCTTCCATTACGAATGATTTTAATGTGAAATAATACCCAATATATCTACTAGGAAACAGGTTTAAATTAGAATTTCACGTCTTCCACTCCACTGAGGTTCTGTTACTGAACACTGTGGTCAGCAGCTGTGCTTTTTGATGAGATGGCAGAAGAGCAGAGATTCACCTGCAGCACTGTGTTTAACGCCGTGTGATATTGTTGCTCTGAAACGACACAAAACCCCACGTAACTTACACTTAAAAAGTCTGCCTGCATTATAACACAGTGTTTCCATGGTAACAAATTAGTAATGAGTAGCACTGCAGGGCAAAAATAGGAAAACGTGGCTCAGCATTTGTGGTCTGCCATGCTGTGAAGGTGTTTTTAGAGCCAAGTGGAGACAGTCCAGTCACATACTGAATCCTGTCATGTCAACAAGCACCAGGAGCTCATTTCTGATGCGGGTCTACATTGCTTAGATTTTATGCTCCTGGACACTGTTTGTGACAATCGAAAATAAAAATTTAATTGGATCTCCTGTTTTGTTTTTCCAGTTTTAATTAATTCATGATTTTGTTTTCTAGAAGCCAAACATCTGCTACTAGAATGATGGAGAAATCTGTGTTTGAGAAAGTTGTACTTTTAAGCTGCTTTAAAAAATATTTAAATTCAAAATATTCAACAGTTTGGTTAGTACAACTCTTTTGTCCACATTACCAAAAATGTAAATCAAGTTAAGGGCACAGGTCCACAAGGACAAAAGGATGTTGAATGAGAAATCAACGACGTTCATGAATCACTTAAAACCTCTTTTCAAGGTCAATCATTAGAACCTTTTGATCCCAGCTTGTATATACTAGCAAAAAATTAACTAGTGCAATATTTGTATAGCACTGTGATCAATGAAAATAGACTTTTAACCGCAGCACACAAAGTACATTGTGTGTGCATATAACCACTTTCACAATCATCACTAAAGTTTTCGTATAATCTTGCAGCTTTGCACATGAATGCTTCACTGTCAGCTTTTTCAACTTTCTTCTTAAATCACAGATGTTGAAGCATGTGACCTGCTGCATGCGGTGCACGAATTCTGTAGCAAGGAAACAAATACTCAAAAAAAAAAATCACTCCTTTCCGTTGTCTTTATTTATTTCTCTGTAGAAGTGGGTATGCATGTGTGCATGTATGTGTGAGCTTTCATGCATGCATGTGTGTGCTTGTACAATACACGTGAGCCAATCTAACAATGAAGAATCACACTGGAACCACAACAAAGAACCACAATCACAACATCTGCAGTCTCAACAAAGATACAACTGAGAGAGTCATCGGGGGGAAAGTGTGTCGGAGAGGAGATCTCTGACATGTGAACACATTTAGAGACACTAAACTGATTGGATTTTAAAGACACTGGTAACAGTATGGAATCACTCTGCTCAGCCACAGGAAGAAGCCAGTAACAGGCCTCCAGTGGAGCCCAACTCTTCTGCTGGTACTGTGACCCAGATTATAGCATCAATCAAAGATCGCTGTTTAACATTACATGAGAAGACCTGCCAGCTTCCTGTTTATGTGGGTGTGCAGTGAGTGTGAAACCACACTGTAAAGTGTCACTGAAGTAAAAAAGAAATAGCAAAATTATATTATTATCTAAATACATACACCAAGAAAGTAATAATGCAACATTTTGTATATAGTAAAGTTATTCATTATGCACAGACTTTCACAAAGGTACAATTTAACCGCACCCTTCTACCTCCACCTTCAGGAATCTCGCCCTCACCCTCCCTTTCCAGTTCATAATGATGCAGTTTAATTGACATGCATGACCGGGCCCACGTCAGCTGAAGACGAGGCCAAGAGATGCCACTCTACGACTTCACATCCTGCTTCTTTTTCTGGAATTTCCTGAACTGTGACTGGATGGTCACAGCAGCCTTCGCCGTCTCCGGGGCGTCCATGTCGATGTCGAAATCCGGGGGGAGGTTGTTCTTCTTTTCTTCTGGGGACAGAGGAGACGTGGAAATGTGAGAGGATAGCAGGACTTTCAAGAGGGGAGTTCATAAACATATCAAAAGTTCCTGAAAGATTTCTCTCAAGGCACAATCTATGCTGTCCACTTTCACTCTCTGTCTCTTTAGCAATAAGTGGGTGTTCGCTGTTCGGCTAGCTGCACTCAAATGGGAAAATCCACCTGTTAACCGTAACATTGGGGTTGGCGAAGTGATTTATGCGGAGGAGAGCCTGTTTGAGTCACCAGACCGACAAGCTGGTGTCTGACGATCCAGCTTTTCCTCAACAGGCCACAACCAAGAACTGAACCACCAACTTTCCAACCGATGGATGACCTGTTCTATCTTCTGAGCAAAATGAACCTCTAGTAATGTGACGTCATCTGAATACAGTGCATCAAATGATAAAGGACTCACTACTGCCCCCCTGAGGCTTGTAACATATAATCACCAACACACTTCATCCCAGAGGGTCAAATACTGTTGTTCTGTAAGTTGCAAGTTTGTAATTCCTGTCAATAATTAGGATGTAAACTCATCCAAGTTAAGGAAGTTTAGGGCTTTGTTTTCACTCACTAATTTGTCTCACTTTCACAGGATGGATTCAAGCTTCAAAATTACCTGGTAAACCTGTGCGCTGAAAAAATATTTGATGCCAAATGACTTTTTATGTGTTTTGGCAAAGAAAACCTTTACAAGTGTCCACATGTCATGAACTGGGAGTCTCAATATTTCTTACTCCTGGTGTCCAAAACGCTAAGTTTCTGTTTTATCCTGTGAAAGAGAACATTCAGCAACCAGGGCTGTTTTTTATTCCTAGTTGTCACAGATATTGTAAACTTTTGGTTTTACAAGAATATGTAAATTTGCATAAAAGTTTTTTGAGATGAAGACTAGCTGGTTAGTTTGACAAACTTGGCTAACCTCTACTCCTGACACAGAGAGCAACGTAAAGCCGCTTCTTGGAACATATGCATGAATACTGCTTCTACTTACGCTATATTTTCTCTTTGTATTTAATTTCAAACCATTATTTTACACTGATCCGCCAGCTTCATGAGCCTAACTTTTATCCTCGTCAGGCTGGAAGATCCTCGACAGCTGAGGGAAGCCTAATGTTTTACAGATTCAAAGAGACTGGTAAACTCTGGGCATGGGGAAGCCATTAAACGAGCCATTATTGGACACAAACAACAGTATAAACGGCGGTTTATAAACACAGAAAGAAAACATTTAGTAAAGGTTTTGCAGTTTACTGCTCTGTTGCAGTGCTGCAGAAGTGACCTCTTTCTTGTTAGATGTAAATGTCATTACAGATGGCTGACATTCAGTAAAAGGACAGAGCAGAAGCTCCCAAACTGACAAAAGAAGCAAACGGGGAACGTGCTCTTCACAGCGCAGCAGAGAAGATTCTAGTTCTTTAAGCCAGAACCCAAAACTCCTTCAAGCCTCCGGGTGCTGTGTGTGAAGGGAATGAGATGCACTGTACTTAATTAAGAAACAACCTTCTGATTAATAGATTCAAAGCAACAAAGATGAAGTGCCCAAACAGGGATAAACAGAGAAGACAGAAGTGCATCTGGCTGCTTGATCACAGAACATGAACATGTGAAAGGTTTTACAGGATATCTCTTCAGTTCTCACGGAAATAAAAAAAAAACCACCAGAAAACATCATGCTCATTCATTCGCTTTTTTAAAAGGTCAGTTGTTTATTCGAGCATTACAGTTTTCATGCAGTACAGTGCTCCGTGCGTGGTTGTGCACTCTTGCATGAAAGGTGATTTTTTTCCAAATGGCCTACTTACGCTTAGATGGTACCTTTTGTTGACCTTGAAGCCCTTGGATGACAGTGAAAAACAACTTTATATTTCATAACTGCAGAAGCCACACACACATCTCTCTCTATTACGCACACACACCATCACTCTTTATAGTCACACCTGCTCCACATGGCTCATGCCCTTTACACCACAAAGAAACTTTTAAAAGCACATCAGGCTTTAGGTCATATGTATGTCATACTGCTGAACCAATGAATGAATCCCATCTGTAAATCATTGCTGCAGATCATTTATATATATATTACAGCAACCTTAGAGTATATGGACAATGATTAGTGAAGGCCCAGTCAAACAAACATTGGAAACATCTATAATCTTGAAACAGGGAAATGTTAATTATCCCAGACTGCAAGGCACTGTGGACTTTGGCAGTAACTTTGTTTCTATCTTTATCTGCTGGAGTCAGAAAAGAAAAAAAAGTTTAAATTAAGAACTAAAAGATAACAATTCCCATATGTTTAAGTGTTGCTTAGAATTCTGAGTATATTAAATGGTACAGTCCATGAATGTTGTAAAGTAAATTAGTTATTATGTTCTGTATTTTTAAGAGATATAGCTTCGTCCCACAAGCCCCACACAATGGGCCGCCATGTTTGACTTCAGGTTTTGCTGCTGTTCTCTGGGCCTCTTTCACGCCACTGTCCGCATACGCACATGGAAGAGCAGGAAGGTCTTGCTGACAAATATAAACTGCTACAGTGAGAAATTGCTTTTTGAGATTTCCCTTTTTCTGAAGCTGGAACATGGCATGTAATTTATATGAATGGATTAAAAAAATGTTAGAGGTGAGAATAGAGACATTGGAGTGGCTATGCCAAAGCAACCAGGGAAATGACAGCAGTTGTATGGCTCCATCTATGTGAAGGAGGTTTCTATACAATATATGCAACACATGTCATCTTTAGATTTGTGATTCGTGATATTGTCATGTGTTGAGCATTATTCATTTTGTGAGTGCCTTTTCTTTCCTGCATAGAATTCAAGGGCACACAGCTTTCCCCCCTCTTCTTAAAAGGAAAGACCAAAACGGACAAATGTCACAAGAATGCAATTCACACGTGTCAAATTCAATTTAGTGTCCTCAAATTCCTCCTGATCACTGCTGTCATGTCCCCCTTCGGACCGAGCCAGAGCTGCAACACACTTCATCATCCCAAAGGTTGAGACAAAAATCCATTTCAACACGGGGTCTTTACAGGGTTATCAGCAGCCCCAGAGACGGAGGCGAAATAACATCCAGTCCTTCTGTGCTGAATGAACTATGGAACTGTTTGGCAGTGAATGGGCTGCTATTAACCTGCTACACTGATTGTGTGAGAAGAATGTTACCTTCGAGCAGTGGAGGAGATTACATTCAGTGAGTGCCGTGAAATTGAATTCAGAAAATGTGCAGACTACAATGACTTACTTAGATTTACTTACAAGATTTATGACACCTTCTCCATGGTCGAACAGCTGCTGAATGCATATTCCTGACAGGATATATTTTTTTAAGCTTAGTTAGCGACTGATAATCCTGCAAGCCAGACTGATTTTCTCACCTGAGCTCAGGTCTTGAAAAATGCCATTCACTGGTGTGAGGTTCATTAGAAGCAGTCTTTTGTTCTTCCACACTATCATTTTGCCAGGATGATAGTTCTGCACTTAGCACCATTTATGAATTTCAAAGGATTCTGCCAAGTATTCACAGTCCAATTTTGCTGTTTATAACTCAAGGGATTAGAATTACTTCATCATGCCAACAATACCATGGCCCAGTTTACAAAGTAAGTCACTGCCATGCTAGAAAGAACTGGTGTGTTGTTTCAGATAAACAGTGAAGAAACAAACTGAAATCAACTATTCAAATTAAATAAGAAAAGCACGACAGGTATACTGGAGCACAATGTTAGATTTCATTTTATCAGCATGAAATTTCACAATAATAATCCTTAATTGCAGAGAAAACATTCAAATATGAGGATTTAAAAAATATATACTTGTATTTATTCATTTATTTATTTTAAGAAAACTGGTTGTAACACTTTCTTATTGTTTAAAGATGTCAGATATAAAAAATTGTGTTTTTGCCAAGTTGTATCATTACCAAGTGAAAACCTCTGAGGATGAAAAATGATGCCATAGCAGCATTGCCAAAAACGACTGTTTTGAGGCTGGCTCAGAGGCCATGGGTCCCGATACGCTCCCATATTAAAATGCCCAGCTTCAGCTCTGTAACTAACTGTAACGGTCCTGGGTCGTTTGACCCAGTGCTTTGAGTTTTATTTTGATGGTCTATGTTTAAGTTCATTTATGTCATTGTCCGTGGTCCTGTGTGTGATGCGCGGGTAGCCACACCCCCAGGCTGGGCCATCACCGGCACACCTGCTCTCCATCGGGGTGATTACCTGAAGAGCTACTTAACCCGGCGCTGACGGATGCTCCACGCCAGTCCGTTAATCACCTCTCTGTGGTAACTAGACTCCCGCGAAAGCGTTGCATTACTATCTTGTTGGAGCTGCGTTAAATCTGCCTACTTGTGTCTAGGTTTCGATCCGGCGTTCAGCGTCTGCCACCTGCCTGTCCTCCTGCTCAATTGGATCACCCGGTGCATCATCTGGCCCATCCACTACCTCCACGGACTTCCCTCCCCAGCTCCCACGGTCCCGCTCTAATCGTAAGCCAACTGGTCTAACTCAGTTTTGATGTGTTTCCTCCGCTTCCCGGCTCCCTAGTAATCTTCTCCCCTTTCTGTTGCAGCCTCCCATGGTCCCGATTCCGGCTTCCTCGCATCATTGTTTCCCGGGTTTTGTAGTTCCTCGTTTTGCTCCTTTGGTTTTCCCGGGTCGCCTTTTGTTATTATAATAAGGTGTCCTTTTCTGCTAGCGCTTGAGTCTGCGTTTGGATCCTTTCGTGCACGCGCACCGCAGCGCATGACAATTTAGTTACCTTATGCCCCTACGTTGCCCAGTTATAGTTCATTTTTTATTAGATTCCCCTTATGTCTTCACCCCTTGTGTTTAAGTCGCCCTTCATGTGGTTCATTGATGCCTTTCTCTCCCATCTGCTCCTCTTGTTTACATGTTTTCCACTTGTGACGCATTCCTTCTGTCACGTGTTTCCCCCCAGCCATCATGTTCTGTTTGTGCTTAGTTATGTCCGTGTCTCATCCCCAGTCCCCTTTCCCCCTCTGTATTCATAATGTGCATGTCCCTCAACAGTCCGTGTGTCATGTCTGCGTCCTGTTATGTTTCCTGTTTTATTTTGAAGAGGTCTGGCGTTCTATGTTCAGTGTATTTAGTTTCACTTCCCCTGATCACCTCTTGTGGGTATTTAGTCTCGGAGTTTTCACTCATTCCTTGTCCGGTTGTCTGCTTTCCTGCTATGTGTGCTTGTCCATGTTTCCAGGGATTTCGTGTATTTATGTCAAGTCTTCACATTCCAGGTTTTTCATGCCGGGTTTCCACGTTCATGTTCCAGTTTTTTTGTGTTATCGTTAGATCACCCAGTTTAGGTTATAGTTTAGTTTCACACTTGCCCTTTCGGTTTGTATTGTTCCACCGGCCTTGAATAAATGGCTCGTTTTTTGTCAAGCTCAAGTTTTGTTCTTTCAGGTGTCAGGACTTGGGTCCTCCTCCTCACTCCATACAGTCTGCTTCAGCCAGATTGTGACACTAACATGTACACAAGCTGGTGCGAAAAACCATCTTAGCTTGTTATTGTGGTGTTGAGGTCACTTTAGTGTGTAAAGATTTATGCATGATTGTCTTTTAAACAATCTAATCTTTGGTGAAAACGTCACATTGTTTAAATTCGGTTTAAACATACATACCTTGGACAGATGCTTTGCTGTTTCCGGTCATTGGGCCAGATGCTTGTCTCTGCAAAAATGAGAAGAGAAACAATGAGCAATTAAAAGTTACAATTAACATCAGCCTGAGACGCTACATGTAAACCTGCCTTCAACCCAAAATATGTTGTTCATTCCCCCAAGTACCAATCTGATCGTTTCCTGAAGCAAAACAAGCATCTGCTATAGTCACACAGATTTGAGCAACACATAAAACAATTGAAAGGAGAGGTGTGGTTCTTTGTGAGGCGAGCCAGGATGTGATATGCTGATCTATAATCCATGTTTCTGCAGCAGAGACAAGTTTGCTCTACCTGCTCCTGCAGCTCCTGACAGTTCTCTGATGGGATGATGCCGTTCGCCTGCAGTAAGACTGCATCCAGGCTTACAGTGTGAGCCGAGGCTCGCTTCACATTCACAACTTCTGCTTTTCTAAGAGTTTCCTTCACATGGACCTTTGGTTTCGTGCCATTTATTTGGGGTGGCTGTGGCTCAGGCACTAGAACAGGTCAAAGGTTAGCGGGTCAATCATTGGCTGCATACCAACATATACTGGGTCCTGAGCTGATGTGCATACAAAAAAGTGGTTGGATTGTTAATAAATATTTATTACAAAGTATAAAAAGTACTGCAACATGCAGTTTACTGCTAATCATGCCAATACTTAATGCTACAAAAAAGGCACGTCTTATTTTTTATGCTTGATATTGACATGCACGGACTGCGACTGTGTAGAATTATATAAAGTATTAAGTATCATTTTAGTTTGGCATCTGTGCCATCAGAGTTCCTCATTCTTGATAAACACACAATATGGCCAAAAGTATTCACCCATCCATGTAAATCACTGAATTCAGGAGCTCAGTGAATTGCAGCCTGGTACCGTGATTGTCAGGGACCTGGATCTGAGCGACCTGGGGTCCCTGAGCAGTTATGGACTTGTATTACATTATATGTATTTTTGATGTTGCTGTCCCTCGTTCTCCCTGCTTGCAGGTATATGTGTGAGTCTGGGTGTGTCTGGGAGCACCTGTTTACAGGCGCCTTCAGGCGTGGTAGGTGTGGCCCTCTCCGACGCTGGATCATTGCGTGACTTCACGTTAGTCTCTCGTCCGGTCAGTACGGTTAGTCTGCCGCATTGTGTGTGTCTTACAGCTGCCTGTTTGTTATCTCCCCAGGAGAAGTGTGGAAACGAGAGCTCAGCGAGCACGGGGTGCTCAGACACTGAGGAGCGGGGACAAGGAACACTGACACTGGGAAGAGGACGTCACGGGAGTCGGGAGCGCACTGAGGATTTATTGTTATTTTCCATTTTCACTGTAAATAAATGCACTGTTTGCATTCAGGGCTCCACGCCTGGGTCCTCCTTCCTCACATCCCCACGGTTGGCCAGTGTCAACTGTGACAGTGATAGGATGTTACTTGTCCAGTCGTGAAATGTCTTCACTACTAAATATTCCACAGTCAGCTGTTAGTGTTATCATAGCAAAGTGAAAGTAACTGGGAATGACAGCAATTCAGCCACAGCCATGCAAAATCACAGATCGGGCTCAGAAAACGCTGAGACGCACAAAGGTCGCCAAGTTTCTGCAGAGTCAATCTCTACAAACCTCCAAATTTCATGTGGCCTTCAGATTAGCTCAACAACAGTGTGTAGAGAGCTTCATGGAATTGGTTTCCATGGTCAAGCAGCTGCATCCAAGCCTTACATCACCCAGAGCAATGCAAAGCATCAGATGCAGTGGTGTAAACCACACCGCCACTGAGGAGTAGAGACGTGTTCTCTCTAGCTCTATAGTCCATGAAGTAACAAATCATGCTTCTCCTTCTGTCACTCAGATTGCCAAGTCTGGTTTTGGTGGTTGCCAGGAGAACGGTACTTGTCTGATGCTTTGTACTAAATGTAAAGTTTGGTGTAGGGGTGATTGTGGTGTGGGGTTGTTTTTCAGGAGCTAGGTTCATCCCCTTAGTTCGAATGAAAGGAACTGTTAATGCTTCAGGATAACAAGACATTTTGGACAATTCCATGCTCCCAGCTTTGGGGGAACAGTTTGGAGATGGCCCCTCCCCGTTCCAACATGACTGCACACCAGTGCACAAAGCCAGGTCCATAAAGACATGGATGAAGAGGTTGGTGTGGAAGAACTTGACTGGCCTGCACAGAGTCCTGACTTCAACCTAATAGAACACTTTTATGAGAATATAATAGAATATTCAATGTGTATAGAGGGTTTATATAGCTCTGCTGCCTGGACTCCTAGATAAAGCCAAATATCTCCCCCCAGAGTCCCCTTATGCCATCAGGATAACAAGTAGAAGAAAAACTTGTTTGGCAACTTGGCCATCTGTTTTTCTGTTTACATGCAGAAATCTACTGGGATTCCTGGCATCGTGCTTACTGTCAGTTGGTTGATTGTGGTCTGTTATTCAAGAGGGCAGGAGGCAGTGCCATGAAGTGATGGTGCCATACATCACACCTCCACCCACCACAAGCGAGCATTCAGCCAGAGCTGAGATCCAGGAGGAGAATGACAATAAGAGTTGAGCAATTGTTTCAGTACAATGTGAAGATGGAGCACAATATTGATGAACAGTAAAAAACGGCAGGTCAGAACTGGATGCACACACATCTATGTGTGTGTGTGTGTGTGTGTGTGTGTGTGTGTGTGTGTGTGTGTGTGTGTGTGTGTGTTTACTTTGAGTGAGATTATTTTTGTCTTTGTCTCAAAAACTCATTTTGAGTTTAAAGACGGAGACTGAACAAGAGCTGTATATATCATTATCATAGCAACTCCTGCATCATCACCAGGTGTATTTTAGCTGCAAGCTATGGCAACAAAGTATGTTTAGCCTTATTGGTTCATGAAATATAAATAAAATGTTTTCCTTTAAAGTCTGGAGGACAGCGTTCTTTTCTCCAACATGCCCACTCCATTCTTCCCTTAACAGTCTTCCATTTTTCACAGCTTACATGACGGCTGAACTTCTAATGTGCACACTCTTTACACATTAGCACATTTTTTCTGCACTATTTGATTCTCTGTTCCATTTCACTTCTTCAGCAGAGGTTTCATCTCTTCAATTTCAGAACAAGAGAGCGCCTGCAGTCTGTATCATAAGATGACTTTAGGGAGCAACGAGTGACTTTCATATGAGTTGTTTGTCACGACCCATCCCAGTTTTTACTTAGGTTTAGGGATGGGTATTGATAAGATTTCCATGATTCCGATTCCATTTTCGATTCTGTTTAACGATTCGATTCTTTATCGATTCTCTTATCGATTCTTTATAAAAAAAGGAGAACACTAAGGTCGATTAGCTTAGAACTTTGTTTTTATATCTTCTCTTTGAACAAGATAGAAATTTAGGAGTAACATGGCCTTACAAACCCAACAGTGAGATCTTAAGAGATCCACAGCCTACGGCTCTTCAATGGGGTGTCACAGGGTCCCCAGGGAAAAAAATTGTAAATGTAAAATAATAAAATAAATATTCTTCTGTAGCAATAACAAAGTATAACATAAATTATTCTGTAGCAATTACACAAGAATATCCAGTAATGTCCCTGCCTACAATTAAACACATTCACTTACTGAAAATCATCTGCTGTGGCAAATGGGTTCAAGCCTTTTACCACAAACTGAGTCACTGCTCTGTGACATTCGTCTATCCTGGCCTGAAAGGAGACGCTACCGGTAGACTGCAGCGAGAACTGCCAGCATCTGAGCCAGACTCTGTCTGTCTGTCTCATCATGGTCACCTAAATGCACAGTGATGGCAGGTTTTGTAATAAGGCAGATCGCGCGAACATAATATGCACTGTTAGTTGATTATTTACCTGCCGCATTAACGGGAGAGGACGTGCAAACGTTGTCGCTGCTGCTGGGTTGAGATTCACGAGTCCGGAGCGGAATTAAAAACACGACATTCATTTAAGGTCATCGCGTGTTTTGTGAGCAAATGCTTTTGCATAGTCGTAGTGTTTCCTCCCTTAAATGAAATATCTACTTTTCAAGTATTGCAAGTTGCCCTGTTGTCATCCGTTCTCGTAAAGTATAGCCAAAGTTTTGAGCGTTTGAGCCGCTTAGGTGCCATGTTTCCTGCCAGGTAAATGACGCTCCGCAACGTGGTGACGTCATTCGGGGCGACTGGAATCGATAAGGGAATCGTTTGCAAAAATGGCAACCAATTCCAAGGAATTGAAACAGTGGGAACCGGTTCTCAACAAGAACCGGCTTTCGATACCCATCCCTACTTAGGTTTGACTCTCATCACTTGTGCCCTTAGTTCATTTGAGGAAGCAGCATTGTCACTGATCGTGGCTTAAGAGTTGGGAGTTCGCCTTGTAATCGGAAGGTTGCCGGTTCGAGCCCCGGCTTGGACAGTCTCGGTCGTTGTGTCCTTGGGCAAGACACTTCACCCGTTGCCTACTGGTGGTGGTCAGAGGGCCCGGTGGCGCCAGTGTCCGGCAGCCTCGCCTCTGTCAGTACGCCCCAGGGTGGCTGTGGCTACAATGTAGCTGCCATCACCAGTGTGTGAATGTGTGTGAATGGGTGGATGACTGGTTGTGTAAAGCGCTTTGGGGTCCTTAGGGACTAGAAAAGCGCTATATAAATACAGGCCATTTACCATTTACCATTTACTGTGCAGAAATGTGTTTGTGTTGCATGTCCAGGCTGGGGCTCACGACTGTTCCGGCCGTGCCGCGTCCACCTGCCACGCGGCCGACCTCCAAACCAGCATCGCCGGCGCCACTGGATTCGCGGGCAGCCACCTGAACTCCCACCTCCCCGTCGCTTTGCTGCGGCCCGCAGGCGCCGACGGTCCGGGTTGATTCCCTCTCCCACTCGCGGCGGGGGAGTAGGTTCGGCCAGATGGCTCCCCGGCCTCAATCGGGCGATGGAGGTATGTGGTGGGGCGCGGTCTGCGGTGTGGCATCCTTAATCACGCCCGCTGAGTTAAAAACACGGGGACTCAGGGGTTGTGGTGTGATGTGATTTCAATGAAATGGCTCTAAGTGATGATCTGTGG